TTCATTTGCTAGTATCTAGGATCCCGTGGTGTAGTTAAGGATGAAGGATGAACTACATGTATAGTATCTAGGATCCCGTGGTGTAGTTAAGGATGAAGGATGAACTACATGTATAGTATCTAGGATCCCGTGGTATAGCAGACGATGAAGGACAGGATGAGCAGGAAGGGTTCCTGTGTCCGACGTGTATGCTACAGTTTCCAAACCCTGATCTACTCCAGGCTCATTTTATACGGGAACATACTGACCAGAAGACAACACACGCACACAAAAGGTTTTTTCTTTAATGGACTGTTCACGTGATTTTAAGGGTCCCTCGATTTAAATTGATACTTGCCCGATTCACAGAGGGACTATATCTTTTAACCTATAGTCCTAACCAGAAAGACCCGGAATTAACTGACAGTTAATCAGACGACTTAACATATATATCTTTAGTAATTTTAAACCCACAATAAAGGCAGACCACATTTTGGAATTGGCAGGACTATGGCTATTTTGTTATTATCGTTCATAAATCATATCTTTAAAATTAGATTGCAAAGTCGTCAGAAAAATTATTAACTAATTCCTGGTCTTTCTGATTATGTCGACTGTATTATTGGACAGGCGGGGGGGGGGGGGGGGGGGGGGGGGGTGGGAACCCTTGTTTTTCTCTATTTCGTTTTGCATTAAAGATCGTAATTTTTACATTTGAAGGCCAAAACTTTTCGTTCGGTATGAAAACGCTTGTTAATAAATATTGTCTCCAATTAAAAAAAGAGGATGTTTTTTTTATTTAACAATCAACATTTTTGTAGAAATTCTGGTGAACGGCATGAGGAAAAGAATGGTGAGGTTGAGTTACTACGGAACCAGTTGAGAGCATTGGAAGAAGCTAAATCTTTATGTAAGCAGTTATTTCAGATTTTAACAAAACATTCTTTATTCAATATTCAAATAATGAAGAAGAAAAACAAAATCAAATCTTTTACAGTTTTAATTATTTTTTTCATCTTTTATGAAAATTATTTAATTAAATGTTCATTGTTTATTTTTATCTCGTAATTATGATAAATGTTTTTGGGTGTATAATTATTTGTTTAACCTTTTTAATGCTTGCTAAGATATTTTGTCTTTGCCACAAACTCTAATCTCTATATCTTTGAAGCTTGATGGTGTAACAGAAATAATAGTATAAAATTATCTAAGGTCTCAATTTAATGGTAATTTTAATTATTTTCCCTGTAAATTCAAAAATATTCCATTTTGGGGACCGGGAAGTAGAGAACCCTTTTGTAAAACATATCAATTTTATTTTGTAAATTTTAGTAACAGTTGAGGTAGACAGCTTACGTCTACAGATTACAGAAAATGAAAACAAAGGAATTCAANACGAACACGAACACGAACACGAACACGAACACGAACACGAACACGAACACGAACACGAACACGAACACGAACACGAACACGAACACGAACACGAACACGAACACGAACACGAACACGAACACGAACACGAACACGAACACGAACACGAACACGAACACGAACACGAACACGAACACGAACACGAACACGAACACGAACACGAACACGAACACGAACATGAACATGAACATTTTTAGAGACTGCTAGAGAAAACGAATGAGTTGGCAGCTGAAAATGTTGCTCTAAAGGCAGCTGTTGACGAACTAAGCAGCACTAACGCTGCTCTAGAAGGAAGATGTAAGGTGGGTAAAAATCAACGAAAAAAAATGTTAGCAACAGTTTTGGACTTACTTTTATCTTCAATTATTCTTTTAGCTATGGTCTCTTGGACCTTATCGTACAAGTATAAAAACAATAAACAACATAATCTTTAAGTTCATCTATAATATATGGGTCATTACTTAGACACCAACAGAACAGTTTGGACATTTTATGGAGAAGACTTTTTATAGATAATATATTTCATAATAAGATATTTTATGAATAAAAAGTTTTCTTAGATAAGACCATTCATAGACATTTGACAGAGCAAAATATTGTTTTCCTATATCGTAATATTAACATGAAGGATAGTTTTGGAACCAGAAAATAATTTACTTTATCTTTAAAATGCTTTTCTTTATCAACGAAATGCCCCGCTTATGAAAAGTCCTGTCTCTGAAATGTCCTGTTTATAAAATGTCCCTTGAATGAAGTGTCACATCTATGAATATCCTTTTTATGCCCCTTTTTAAATTGTATTTTTTTTTTTTTAAATCTTCAATTCCTGAACAATCCCTTTATTACCAGATTAAGAAAATGAATGTTAAGGAAAAGAAAATTCTTTCCCATCATGAAGATTGATGAAGATTGATGAAGATGGGTTTATTTCCATATAAAAGGAAAACTTAATTTTAAACTTTAACTGAGCGGAAATTTGGTTTACATGGAGCAACTAAAATAACTTTATTCATTAACATGAGAGATTTCTTAACAACTAAAGGGAGTTGATCACGAAAAAAAGAAAGATTAAATATTGATATTATAACATCTTGGCCTTATTTTTATTTCAGATCATTGTTAAATTATTATTTAAACTGAGAATTTGATATAAAAAGGCCTCCACGTCCACAGACTCCTCCTGGCTGGTGAATAATGCAAAGCCAGGCCGGAGATTTTGTTTTGATAAAAGATTGGGCATCTGGAAAGTTTTTTTTTCTCTATTTCTTCGATTTAAAAATTATTATTTTTCCACAGATTTAATAATAATAATAATAATAACGTTTATTGCTAAATATTTGTTAAATTTACAAAATTGTCAGAAAATAAAAAAACATGTATTTGTAAATGTACAATATTGTTAAAAGTAATATTTTCTTCCATTTAGAATAGCAAAAAGTAAAAAAGTAAAAAAGTGGAGAAAATTTTTTTTTTATGGGAACGGGGGGTGGAATTTTTAAAAAATTATATACCCGTTAAACTGGCTTTTTGATTGAAATTTTGATTAAGTATTTTTGCTGAAACATGAGAAAGAATGAGATCGGTTTAAAAATATGTTGGATCATCATATTTAGGTTTTGGAGATTGAGCACTCTCAGCGGAGTTCATTAGATGATGCCGAGGTTTTAAAACAGGTATTAAAGACAGTAAAACTTTTATTAAACCTAACTTTTCTCTAAAACAAAATTTTATTCAACATCACATATCTGTTCAAAAATCCTCGGGAAATGTACTGTTTTAAAAAGCCGATTTGCATTTGCCTATGGTTTCCGCCAAAACAAAAATTTTCATTTTTCACCAACAAGAGGCTTAAATTTTTAATCAAAAGTTACAAGTCATTTTTGAGAAAACTGTTCTCTTTTCAGGAGCTTATTAGTGTGCAGAAAGCTATGGATGACTCACTACGAGAAAAAGAAGAAGAATTTATGAAATTGAAAGAGGAAAAGGAATTAATCACATCTGAATTAAATGAATTAAAACTAGAAGATAAAAAGAAAGACGATATTAAAGACTTATCAGGAGAGTCAGCAGAGCTAAGGGATGAACTAACCCGGAGTAAAGATCTTGTGACCTTGTTAAATGAATCCCTAGCTAATAATAACTCTGTTATAAATGAACTTAAATCTACCTGTGATAAACTCAAGAATGATCTTAGTACAGCTGAGAATACAAGGATTCAGATCTCCAATCTTCTTAGCTCTACCGAGACAAAGTTGGAGGAAGAGAGGATAAACTCAGACAAACTCTTGAGACAGATGACCCAGCTAGAGCAGGACCTGGAGAATGAGAGGACGGAGAAGGTTGAGATTGAATCCAGCCTGGAGAACGCACTGTCAGAGAAGAATAGGATAAGATCTGAACTTGAGGAGGAAAAACTGACAAATGGAAAGATATGTTTAAAGTTGACTGAGACGGAACAAACTAATACTCGATTAGAAAAGGAGCTTAATCGTCTTTCAGGTAAACTTTATGAAGTCAGATTACCAATATCTCTTTCCGGAGATTTTGAACCTCTGAAAAGCCAATTAAAAAAATACTCCCAATAGCCCATAAAATGAACGAAAAACAAAATTTCCAAGTTTTAATGTTAAAACAGGGTGCCGAAAAGTGCTTTTTTCTAAACGTTTAAAAATGAAGATATCAACATTTTACATTATATGAAGTCAGATTACGGATATCTCTTCTCGGAGACTTTAAACCTCTGTGGAGTGACCTCCGATTTTCTTTCTTCAATCTTAAAATGACTCCTAAAATATAATTTATAAATGTAGAAGACAGATTATTCTCGCGGGCGCCGTGATCTAGTCCCTAGATATAAGAAAATATAATTTTTACAAAAAATGTTATATTTATTAGAATTGTTTGTTCTTAATTTGTTTTAAGATCATTTGGACTATATATTTTAAAAAATTGCTTATTTTTAGAAAGCAAGGCCGGGGACAAAAACTAGAAGCCGACTCAGGTTACTATTCAAGGTTCCTTTCCGGAAAGAGATAATTTTTTTCTCTTTATTTTCTACCTGTAATCTAGGAGGCATTATGAGTGTATGTATTCTTAGTATGGGCTATTTATTTAGACCGAGCTCGGAGACAGAAAAATAAAGGTCACTTTGAAGAGGTTTACAATAGGGGTCATTGGAAGTGTGAATAAAAAAAATAGGGTATTGATTATTAAATAGGTCTATTGTTTAATAAATAAAAAATCGAAGCCGATGGAGATAACTTTTTAGAGGTTTCAAGTCTCCGAGAAGAGATATCCGTAATCTGACTTCATATCCTGCTCCTGGGTAATTAGAACCGGCCACCATTTATGAAAGGAAGGAAAATATAATGTAAAAAGTTGATTTCTTCATTTTTAAACGTAGTATTCACGAATTTACATGAAAGGTTTAATCACAATCTAAATGATGTTTCTGTTAAGAAGCTGATATCACTTTTAAGTCAGTAAACTATGCTTATAATATTTGTTAGACAAAAGTTCATTCATTTTCCCCTATGAAATGATCTATTTTCTCCAATTTAACCAAAAGATCCTGAAAAGCCTGCTAAAATCTAGGGGGGGGGATGTTTCAAGAAAATATGAACTGCTTCCTAGTTTAAGGAAATTTGTTCTGTGACCGCAAGTAATGATAATAATAGTAATAACTAATTCATATTTTGATTGTGGGTTGATTCTTTTGACCCTTTCATTGCTTGTTAAACATTTAAGAATTAGTCTTTCATTTTTTCAGTGTTAGTAAATGCGAATATATTTTAGGAGAGAGGGAGGAGCTGCTTAGTAAGATTGAAGCTGGAGACGGAAGCAATTTGGCGATTCAGCAGCTCTCCCAGGAGATAAACAGCTTACAAGCAAGAAATACAGAGCTCCAAGAATCAGCTTCTAAAACTGCGTCTGAACATACAAATCAAGTTGACCAGTTGAGAACCCAGCTGAAGGCGGTCAACACTAAGGTAGAAGATTGGAAGAGTAAAGTAGGCAAACTTGAGAAACAAAAGGGTCAACTTACAGCTGAGCTGGAGTCCAGAAACCAACAAGTGACAAACCTACAGTCGGAGATAAGTTCCAAGGAAAGGATTGAAAAAGATTTGAAAGAAGAGATTAAATTAAGGTCCCAAGAAGTTGAAGAGCTCAAAAAGAATCAAGCATCGCAGCTTGAGACAATATCAGTTCTCAAAACTGAAATTACATCAGCTCAGACCACTGCACTAGATAAACAAACTGAGATTGATAAAATCCTTGAATATAAAACAAAGTTAGAGGTTCAAATCACAAGTTTGGAGACGGATAATGCCGCCTACGTGAATCAGATTGAGATAATAAATGTGGAAAACTTGGAGCTGAAAGCTAAATTAGAAGAAGGATTGAAATCTATTTCTAAGCTTGAAGAGGATTTATCTAAAATGAAGGTATGTATTTTTTAAACAGAGGCAGAGCTTGAACGTCTTATTGACATCTTCGGATACAGAGTCTAAACTTTTCTGGTCAACGGACAAATGTTCCATCAAAGTAGTTTTTCACCCCAAAAGCTTCAGAATATATAAATTTAAAAAATAAATCTTCCATTCAAAATCTTCAGTTCATCTATCTATATATAAATTTGGCTTGTCTGTTTGTTTGTATCCAATAAACGTCAAAACGGCTGAACCGATCGGGCCCACATTTTTTGTGGGACATCACGTGACCACAGGGAAGGTTTATGAATGATAACAATTTTAAAGAATGTGTTTTTAAGGTTTTTAATTTTGTAAAAAAAAATTTGAATTCTTGAAAATCCGCAAAATTTTTTTCTTCTTTGTTTTAAAATGTAAGCAAAAAGAACATGTTCACAATTTAAATAGAAGATGGGCGGGAAGCTCCCGAAAAGCCTAGAAAGAAAGGCGCGAAGCGCTTGAATTTCTAGTATATATATACTTTGCTTGTCTGGGTGTTTGTTTGTTGGTTTGTATCCAATAAACGCCAAAATGGATGAACCGATCGGGCCCAATTTTTTTGTGAGACCTCGCGTGACCCCAGGGAAGGTTTATGAATTATCAAATTTTCAAAAATTTACCCCTAACGAAATTCGCTTTTTTAAAATTTTGTAAATCCAAGAATATTTTTTTTATAAAATCCGCGAATTTTTTTGTTTTTGTTTTACAATATACACAAAGAGAACATGTTCACAATTTAAAAAGGAGATGGGTGCAAAGCGCCCTAAAAGCCAAGCATTTTAAAAAACTTCAAATTTGTTGTATTGACAGGAGGACGAGAATATTTATCATGAGAATATCAGGATGCTGAAGGAGGCCAAGACCTTCTTGGAAACTGAGAAGAACAGGTTGGAGAAGGAGGTTGTCAACCTGGAGGACAAGAACACCGAGCTCCAAAACAGGAGTGAGTCCTCCAAGACAAGAGTTGAGGAGTTGGAGACGGTCATTACAGCAACGGAGAATAAGGTTTGATTGATTTTTTTAGTTAAAAATAATCTTTATTTTGTAATCTTATTGTTTTAGATAACAGAAATGAGAAATGCTATAGAAGCAGCCTGTGGTAAAGAGCAAAGTCTTCTATTTGACCTGGAGGAGAAAACTAAAACCATCTCCGCTATTGAAGAGGAAAAATCCAGTATTGCAAACAGTCTGGAGGAACGGCAGAGCATCCTGGAGAATATTCGGCAGGACAAGGAGAAGGCAGAGTTGGAGTTGAAGGAGGAGAAGAGAGAGAAGAACGAACTGGAGGAGCAGATCTGTTCTATGCAGAGAAAGTGGGAGAAGGAGAGAGAGAAGGAGGAGGAGAAGGTGAAAGAACTAATGAAAGCGCGAGAGATTCTCATCAACGACGTTGTTCAGCTGAAAGAATCTTTGAATACGGACAAATCTAGATTTGAAAATAAGATAAAAGCTCTCTTAGATGAAATTTCGAGTAAGGACGGGAAAATGAACAGCTTAACAAGCAATCTTGAGAAAGTTAAGGCAGAACTGAACACAACTACTCAATCCTTAGAAAAGTCCGAACTGACTTATGCACAATATCTGAAAGACATGGAAGAATCTAAATCAGAACAAGAATCTAAGATTTTCCGACTTGAGGAGGACATTAGAAAACAGCAGCTGATGTTGAGCGCAGCAGCTGTGGAACGAGACGCGGCAATATCGAAGGTTCTAGAGCTGGAAGCTGCTGTTGACGCCGCCGTTGAAGAACGTCGGGCGCTCCTAGAGCGATGCCTGGCCGCCGAAGGGGAAACTGATCGGACACGAAATGTTACGATTGAATTGAGACGAAAAATGGAGGATTCTCAGGCTGCTATTCATGAGCTAGGCAGAGAAAATCAATCATTACAGGTCGGTTACTAAATAAATATTTTTTTGACAATTTGTAAATCATTCAAATGTGAAAAATTAAAAGCTCTAAATCTTGGGACATGAAATATTGTCAATAACTTAGCAAAGTCTAAAACCAATATTTTAAATCAACGTTTAAAAAAGGATTTTTCTATTACTTTTTAGGGATATATTTGCATATTTTTGGGGGGATAAGGTATAAAAAATGGTCGCAAAATACGAGTACTTTTTGAAAATTCTTAACAACTTTATTCAATACAAAACAAATCAACAATAGTATTTTCATTTATAGAAACATAGAGAAAAACGTCTCATTCTATCTTGCCGTACCGAGCTGCTTTTCGCAGAGCTCTCCATTGATTAAGGTTTAATCAAAATAATTTGCAAGCGTAGTTGCAGACTTTTCATCTTAAAATTGAAACGTGAACATGAACAAAACTGCAGTATGTAATTTCAAAATTATTTAGTATTATATATTGCAAACGTAGTTGCAACTGAATGACTTTTCATCTATTCATCTATATGAATAAAAGAGAAAAACAAAGCAACAGAAAGGACATAAAAAAATCTAGAGTACTGGAAAACCGAAAAATTGGAAAATGACTTTTCATCTTATTTTTAGAAAAAAATCTAAATAAATCAAAGAAAAAACATCCAGATAGAGACTTTTCATCCAGGAATCGAATAGAGTGAGAGAAAACAGATCAAAAGTATCAAAAATAGCAAAAATAGAAAATATATCGAAACTTCAAAAATGCTTGATGTCTCAAGCTTATAAATCAATAGTATCCAGCTGGCTATAATTCACTGGTTGGTTATCCGGATAACACGATTTTATAGTGTTTAAGTTTATAAGTTTATATATTCAGGATATCAGAGCTCTCAGTATCATAATTTCCTGAATCACTCTGAGAACATCGCTAATTAATTTTTGAAAATAGTAACATCTAGATGTTATTACGTAGGTTGACCTTGCTCGGCAATCTGGACGAAAATGGAAAGATGATACTGAGGTCATCAGCTGTAATAGTTGCAGGTCAGTCGAATCTTCTAGAATCTGTTAGATATTATTAATCAGTTGTAAGATATTCAAATCAAAATGTTAATATGTTTATCAGAGGAATCCGAGGATGTTTGAGAGACTTTCAAAGTAATTAATTTCATGTGACTTCAAAATTAAAGAGTTGTAAGCCGATTCACAATGGTACCTACATTGGCCAATATGAGGTTTCATTGCTGAGATTATTTTTACCAACAGAAATCCTTTCCTTGGCAAATAATAAGCCGCTCTGTTTTAATCAAAGAATTTATCAACAGCAGTTATTAGTTGTGAGCTAATAGAATTCCTTTATTTTGTTTATAATTGTAGTTTTCTATTAACCAATAGAAGGTAGCATTGTTAATATTATTTTTACCAAGAGACATCCTTTATTTTGTAATGGCAGTTTTTCATTAATCAATATAAGATATCATTGCTAATATTATTTTAATCTAGGGACATCCTTTATTTTATTTATAATTGCAGTTTCTCTCCGACTAAAAGAAATCCTATAGCCTTGATTTTGTTTACAGTTGCAGTTTTTCTCTGACCAATTGAAATCCTTTATTCTGTTTACAGTTGCAATTTCTCTCTGACTAATAGCCTTGATTTTGTTTAAAGTTGCAGTTTTCCTCGGATCAATAGCCTTGATTTTGTTTACAGTTGCAGTTTTTCTCTGACCAATAGCCTTGATTTTGTTTACAGTTGTAGTTTTTATCTGATCAATAGCCTTAATTTGTTTCCAGTTCCAGTTTTTCTCTGACCAATAGAAATCCTTTATTTTTTTAAGTTGCTGTTTCTCTCTCACCAACAGCCTTGATTTTGTTTACAGTTGTAGTTTCTTTGTAAACAATAGAAATTCTTTATTCTGTTTACAGTTTCAGTTTCTCTTTGACAAAAGCCTTGATTTTGTTTACAGTTGCAGTTTCTCTCTGATCAATAGAAATTCTTTATTCTGTTTACAGTTGCAGTTTCTCTCTGACTAATAGAAAGCCTTTATTCTGTTTACAGGTTCAGTTTCTCTCTGACCAATAGAAAGCCTTTATTTTGTTTACAGTTGCAGTTTCTCTCTGACCAATAGGAAACATCATTGCAGAAACTGCGGGAATATTTTCTGTAACGACTGTTCATCAAAGCAGGTAATATTTTAATTTATTTAATTTCCTATCACTTTATTTTGTGATTGATTAGCAAACATCATTATATTTAAAATTTGGTGTTGATGATGATGTAAAGCTCATTAAGTAAATAAAGTAGGTTAGTTTCACATCTCTTCAGTTCTAACGATATAATAACTACAAAATCAAAAATAGTAGATGTAAAAATTTCCAGGGAAAAAAAACGTAAGAAATTTTTTTTAAAATTTGTCTAATGGAAAAAAGGAAACTACCTCAGATCAATTAAGTTTCAAGGGAAGGATCACGAAAATTAAAAGATTAAAGTTTGAACTAGTTTATATTTAATCTTCGTGACGCCTCTCTTTAAGAGGTAGGATTATTTTTAAATACAAATTATTCAGGCCTTGATGGAAGGGTTCAAGAAACCTCAGAGAGTTTGTGAACCATGCTTTAACGAACTCGGAGTCATGTGACCAGTTTCCGGTAATCCGGATTCAGATTCCGAATAGTACAGTTCGGACCGGATTCACTAGATTGTCAGACCGGATATTCCATACAAAGCAGTGAATTCGTAACCAATCACAAAATTCAGCTTTGAAACTTTGTAAAAATACAATGCCTGCATTGTACTTTTACAGTACTTGTACTGTACTGTACAAAAGTTTATTTGTACTTTAACTGTACTCTAATCAAGCATTGTTAAATTTTAATTTTAAAGATAAAATTATCCTTGCCTTCCAATAATACTAGAGGACTAATTAAACCTCTGTTATGGGATAATTACTATTAGGTTTTTACAAACTATCCAAGCAACTAACAATAAAAACAGTTGAAGTAGAAAATTTAGAAAGTACTTGTAAGTCTTATATATGCATAAAATATCCTACTAATGAAATAAAGAAAGAAACATGATTTGTACTCCATTGTCCGTGAGTTTTGGTTATATAAAATATATTTACACTACACAGTACACATTATTCACTTCAGTACAGTTAAAACTATAACTTACTGTACAGTGTATTATAGTTTACACTATTCACTGTAGTATTTGGAACTTGTTACAGTGTACACTACTTTACAAAACCGCAAGTTCTCTTCAAAAGATAATTTGGGTTATTACCTAATATTAACAAAAAATGGATTTAAAATTTTTTTAAGAAAATGGATCACAAAATTAATCTCAGTTTGATGTTACTTCTAATTTTATAGAGGCCATTATTTGTTATTAAGATTAACTGGACTAAATAAGGCAAATTGAAGCCATAATAATGCCTAAATGTATATTTTTCTTATCACTTGTTGATCAGCAAAGAAGAAACTCCTCTAACATTAATTTTCTAATCCTTATTTTTTCAAGCTGATGTTCTAAACCTTTTAAACTTGGACCATTTAAACCAGCAGAATGTTATTTTAAAATATCCGGCCTAAGACGTCAAGTGTTAAAATATTGAATTAAAAGAAAATTAGATTTATCAGTTTAATTCTCTCATTTTCAGTTGGAAGATTTTTAATTGTCACTTCGATTATAATTAAATATTTTTTATTATTTTTAGTAATTTTTAAATTGTTGAATTCTTTAAGGGGAGTGACCGGCTATGTAAGGTAGTTGAACTGAGTATGCAGTGTTGTGGAAAACTTCTTTCGGATTCATTTGAGACATATTAAACTTTTAAAGATCTGTAAATCCTGAGTTTGAGCGCAAATTCGACGTTCAAAACTCCCACTTTGGGGGTGGATACGTTTTCAGAATTAGTTTTTTTTTTAATTTTAAATAACGACAACGAAAAATAAAGAAAAAATTATACAGTAATCTAATTAGATGGTTAGGAACATATTTCTCAAAAGAAATTTGTCAATAAATCAATGCAAAAATCAATTATTTCGTTTTCATTATTATATTGAGTTTTTTATTTTCTTTGAATTTATTCGCAGATTTCTTCAAATTCTTTAAATATCGTATTTTCAATAATAATTCTAGAAAATCTGCAATAATGAGAAAATAGAAACTAATAATTGAACAAGATTTTTTATTTTCGATAAGATTAATTTTTATTTTCTCGACATGTTTCGATACATGACGTCTGTAGTTTATTGTGGAACTTTTTTAAATTTTATGCCGTTATTTAATAATTTAAGAAAACTAATTCTGAAAACCTATCCACCCCAAAGTAGGAGTTTTGAACATCGAATTTGCGCCCAAACTCAGGATTTATAGATCTTTAGAAAATTAATATGTCTCATATGAATCCGAAAGAAGTTTTCCACAACACTGCATACTCAGTTCAACTACCTTACATAGCCGGTCACTCCCTTAAAATGCTTAAAATTTCGTGATCTCTGCTGTTAAAATTTGATAAAATCTATGATATATAATCTTCATGATAAACATTGTTACTTCCATGTACCAGTGCCAATATATATTTTTATTAACAAAATCTTTTATTTGTTTTTCCATTCATCCTGTAAACCCTAGTTCTCCCTTCATTCTGTAAACCCTAGTTCTCCATTCATCCTGTAAAACCTAGTTCTCCATTCATTCTGTAAACCCGAGTTCTCCATTCATTCTGTAAACCCTAGTTCTCCATTCATCCTGAACGTGTTTGTTTGTATATTAGTATTTTTTTACACGTGGAGTTTTTATTTGAGGGAAAGGAGAATGGATTTCTTTTTCTAAATAATCACGAAACCTCTTCTAGTTTTTTCTAAATTACTCGAATTCAGGATAACAGGTTTTTTTGGCTGCTTTGTTTATTTAGAGAAATAAAAATAACATTTTAGTTAACACCTTAACAAACTTTAAGGTGCAGTACACCAGTAGTTATTGTTTGTTTATCTGTTATATTTTTGGATATAGAATATATCAACACTTTATCTATCTATCTATCTATCAAGGACGGATAAAAAGTATGAAAAGAAGTAGACTATAAGTGTGAAGATGTAGGTTAAGGTTTCCTATCGCTTCTGATATTTAGTACAAGGTTCAGTCCGTACAAAAAAGGTTGGCCTCCATACAAGATTCTGGGTTGGGGACCCGAGGTGTGGTTGGGGGGAATGCATCTTGCATGAACAAATACAGAAAGTTCTATTAAATATTAAAATGTTTTGATAATTCTTGGTCGTTTTTTATAGAAAATGCGGGAATGCGAAAGTATTCTACAAAGATACAGAATTCTGAGCTTTCCAATTTGTCGACCGGATTTTGATCTTTGAGAATGGAGGCAATACTTTTTATATCCAGGGGGGCGGGGACATTCGCCCCCCCCCTGAGATTTTGAGGCAAAAAATGTTCCCAATTTGATAAATGTTATTGTTAACGATAAATTTAGAATTAGAAATTTGTAAGAAACTACTTAAGTTATAATATTGTTCATATCTAGTAATGTTCCTTAATCAAAACTCATATATCAAAATTGTAATATTGTTCCTAATTTTCATGCATTTATAACTAGTAATTTCTTTTTGTTCTTAAATTGCTAATGTTCCTATTATTGTTCCTGTTCCTAATACTGTGTCCGACCCACCTTAAATCCCTGTCCTAATCCTATATTTTTGTTCCTAATTCCTGAACAATCTTTTTATTGTTCCTAAATCCCTGTCCTAATCCTTTATTTTTTTTCCTAATTCCTGAACAATCTTTTTATTGTTCCTAAATCCCTGTCCGAATCCTTTAATTTTGTTCCTAGTTCCTGGACACTCTTTTAATTGTTCCTAAATTCCTGTCCTAATCCTTTATTTTTGTTCCTTATTCCTGAACAATCTTTTAATTGTTCCGAAATTCCTGTTCTAATCCTTTAATTTTGTTCCTAAAATTTAAAAATCTAGTTTTTTTTAGTCTTAAGTCATTAATTTTGACTCTTTTTGAGTCTTTTAAGTCAAAAAAAATTTTCCCCTGCGGCACGATTTTTTGTTCCTAATTATTAAGTTTTTTGTTCCTAAAAAATCTTGCCCCCCCCCCCTCACTAAAATCCTGTATCCGCCCCATTTTATATCAATTCTATCCATTCATATTTTAAAAGTTTGAGAAAAATATGTCTTATCGAAAATCATTCTCATAGAATCTTCACTGACAATAGAAGATGTTAGCTTTTCCATTTATTCCCATGTATACCTAGTATACCTTCCTTCCACAATCAAAAAGTAAACAAACTCATACTACTGCAGTACACTATATATTTAAATTAAGTTTTGGGAGATTCTTTTCTTATTTAGAGAGAGGTACAATGTACGTACATGCGTCATGCATGTACATTGTACAGGGTGTCCTACGAAACATGACAGTAGCAAGAAGAATTGAATGTCCTCTCCAAACCTCTGAGTTTATTTGTGACATTCAGTCAACAAAATTTAACTAGTATTTCTTTAAACAATGACCACAGAATTCTCCTAGTCCTGGCTTTTTCAAAATGTGGTATTTCGTTTTTGTGCTGTCAATATTGATAGAGATATCATCAATTTTATTTGATAATATGAGATTTCAATTATATAAAACAAACCCCAAATTGTCAAAATCTGAATGAAAATCTTCACATCTCCAGTAATATTAAAAGTACAAAAAAGAAGAGATATCACATTTTGAAAATGCCAAGACTAATGGGTATTATGTGATTATTAACTCTAGAATTTTACTTCTAAAATTAAGTTTACGAATAAATGCCGCAATTATTTTCAATCAGCTGTCCTACGTTGTCCAGAATATATTCAATCATAATTTGGTCTTTTCTTCCGGGTTTACGCAGCTAATAGGTCCCATCAATAGATCCTATATTCAGGGGCGTATACAGGAATAGGTCCCATCAATAGATCCTATATTCAGGGGTGTATACAGGAATAGGTACCATCAATAGATCCTATATTCAGGGGCGTATACAGGAATAGGTCCCATTAATAGATCCTATATTCAGGGGTGTATACAGGAAAAGGTCCCATTAATAGATCCTATACAGGGGCGCATACAGGAATAGGTCCCATTAATAGATCCTATATTCAGGGGTGTATACAGGAATAGGTCCCATTAATAGATCCTATATTCAGGGGTGTATCCATTAATAGGTCCTATATTCAGGGGTGTATACAGGAATAGGTCCCATTAATAGATCCTATATTCGGGGTGTATACATGAATAGGTCCCATTAACAGATCCTATATTCAGGGGTGTATACAGGAATAGGTCCCATCAATAGATCCTATATTCAGGGGTGTATACAGGATCTCAGGNTGAGACCTATTCCTGTATACACCCCTGAATATAGGATCTATTAATGGGACCTATTCCTGTATACGCCACTGAAATTCAGGGGCGTACACAGAATTACACCGTTCAAATCTTCAAGGGGGCGGGCTCATTTTCTTGAAACCCCCTAAGAAACCATGAGGTGAGGGGACTCGGCCTTCTATGACCCCCCACTCTATACACCCCTACCCATATTTAATAACCCCCTTCCCCCAATTCTTTCTTTTCTAAAATAACTGCATAATTTCCTGCATTCTAGCAATAACATATCCATTGATTCATTTATGTGCAAAATGGTCTGAATAGGTTGTATTGGCTGAAGTAAAGTACAGAAGCCAATGAATCTGTGTATATAGGTCAACTCTTCCCAGTTCTAGGGAGAGAGAGGAGAAAGGGGGAACCCTGTAGCTAGGCCAGATATAGAACCAGAGTACTTTTTGTGCCTTTTAGTCCTAGTCATCTCCGATTAACTTATATTTAGTAAATAGTAAACCATTCTTTTCACACGGTCTCACGTCCTTTACTTCTCCCTACTTCTCTCCTCACGTCCTACACTTATCAGTACTATATCTTCTCACGTCCTACACTTCCTCTTACTTTTTTTCTTTATGTCCTAAGAGTCTTCTGAAGTCTCTCCTCGCGCCCTTTACTTCTCCTTGATTCTCCTCAAGTCCTGCACCTCATCTTTTTTCTCCCTTCACGTGCTACACTTCTCTTTGAATTCTTCCGTCATATATATATATATTTCTTTACTTCTCTTTTCACGTTCTACACTTCTTCTTACTTCTCCCACCCTCAAGTCCATCCTTACTTTTTTTCCTATGTCCTACTCTTCTTATACTTCTTTCCTTCATTCTACTCCTTCTTACTTCCCTTCTTATGTCCTTCTCTACTTCTCCTTACTTCTCTCTTTACGTCCTACACTTCTCCTTACTTCTCTCTTTACGTCTTACACTTCTCCTTACTTCTCTCTTTACGTCCTACACTTCTCCTTACTTCTCTCTTTACGTCCTACACTTCTCCTTACTTCTCTCTTTATGTCCTACACTTCTCCTTACTGCTCACCTATATCTTACACTTCGCCATAGTTCTCTCCTCCCGTCCTCCTTTTCTGCATACTTCTCTCTTCCCGTCCTCCTCTTCTGCATAGTTCTCTCCTCCCGTCCTCCTTTTCTGCATATTTCTCTCCACCCGTCCTCCTTTTCTGCATACTTCTCACCCCCGTCCTCCTTTTCTGCATACTTCTCTCCTCCCGTCCTCCTTTTCTGCATATTTCTCTCTTACCGTCCTCCTTTTCTGCATATTTCTCTCCACCCGTCCTCCTTTTCTGCATACTTCTCTCCCCCCGTCCTCCTTTTCTGCATACTTCTCTCCTCCCGTCCTAATCAACTTCTTTCTTTTCTTCTCTTCTCCTTACCTCACAATTTCTTTTTTATTTTTATCACTTTAATATTTTTTTTTACTTTTATTCCTTTTTTATATTTCCTCCTTTATTTACAACTCACTCCTCCCTTGTTTCATTACTTCCCTCAGAAATTCCCCCGGCTCTAGTTTCCCCACATCATCCTTGCCGGGCCGTGTGACGCAAAGCGTCAATATCCTAGTTAGAGTTCACTCACCCTGCTCCCAACCTATCTATCTATCTATCTATCTATCTATCTATCTATCTATCAATTCAACCCCCTTTTACACAGTTTTACAACAAAGAGCTAGGAGGAGTATAAAAATATATCGAGAAATTAAACCCTGCGCACACAACAAGGGAATAGAATACTAATGTTTCAAAAGCAAATAGTTGTAAATAATTGTTAAAGATTAGTGTGAAATAAAAACGTTGCAAAAGGAAAAAACTGTTGCTGGGATACTTTTTAAAAGAATAGTTGTCAAGCAATATGCTGAAATGATAACTTAGTTTGGGAGAAATTGCAAATATTGGCGAGGATAAATGTGCAAAATCTTAAAAGAACAAAATTTAGCAAGCTTAATACCTCAACCAAATAATCTGAAAAAATGTAAAATCCAGAAACTGAGCCCTAAACTGTGCACAGCAATATTATAATTTAGTACAAAAGTCGAAATGTTATATACCCTTTTAAATGAAACATTTTTTTTAGCGATTGGACTTGAAGCATTGATCCTGATCAGGTTGTATGTTCAAATATTGCTGATATTAAATTTGATTTCAATTGAAATTGAATGAAAAATATATATAGGAATTCATGCATTTCTTTTTAAACATGCCATTTCTTTTTATCCTGCGATTTCTTTTAATCTAGAAGAGAGAAGGATATAATAAGATAAACAGGAAAGAGAAGAGAGAAGGATAAAAAAGACGAATAAAAAAAGAAGAGAGAAGGATATAAAAGACGAATAAAAAAGAAGAGAGAAGGTTAAAAAAGACGAATAAAAAAGAAGAGGAGAAGAGGGAAATATATAAGAAGAAGAGAAATAAAGAATGAAGGATATGAAAGGATGAAAGGAAAGAGAAGAGAGAAGGAAATAAGAAAATGAATAAGAAGAAGAATGAAGGATATAATAAGATGAATAAAAAGACGAGGAATGAAGGATATAAGAAGAAGAATGAAGAATACAATAAAATTAATAAGAAGGAGAAGAATGATGGATTATAATAAGATGAATAAGAAGGAGAAGAATAAAGAATTAAAGAAGAAGAATGAAGGATATAAGAAGGAGAAGAATGAAGGGAAGAAGAATGAAGGAGAAGAATAAAGGATATAAGAAGGAGACGAATGAAGGATATAAGAAGGAGAAGAATGAAGGATCTAAGAAGGAGACGAATGAAGGATATTAGAAGGAGGAGAATGACGTATATAAGAAGGAGAAGAATGAAGGATATAAGAAGGAGACAAATGAAGGGAAGAAGACTGAAGGAGAAGAATGAAGGATATAAGAAGATTACAAGGATTACGAGTAGACGGTTTATATATTGTGTATCTTGAGTCATATATGTTTAAGATCTAGTTTCCAACACCAGGACATAAATCCCTTAAAACCCCCACCCCCATCTACCCCCTTAAACCGGCTTATCCCCCCCCCTAGAGAAACTAAGCAGCGCCCACATGAGGTCCAGGGCATATACCGTATACCGCTACATGTTAAAGAACTCTAAACCTTCATCAACTCTCTTCAGTTCATCACTAGAACCCGAACCAGTGAAACATACGGACTCAAGAACCAGAAAAATGATCTAGGATATATAATAGGACATAAATTAAACACAAATTTGGACGTTTTTAATCAGGGCTGAAACGTCCTCTTTTCTCAACAAGAAAATCCACTAAAACACGGATGAAATCCTGGAACCTGGGCCTGTAAGCTAAGGATTCTAAACCCTAGAGAAAGCTCTTGAGCCAGACTGCAAGGTTGGAGAAAATGCCGGATTCCTTGGAACCTGCTCCGTCTTTAGAAACTGGAAGGTAAATAAGAAATTATCGACATATCTCTATATTATTTAAGGATATTAAATTAGAAAACAGTTTTGTTTTAACTCGAATTATTGCCAATTAGATCATTCTTAACTTTATAAGCATGAATTGTGTCATTTTGTATTTTGTTTAATTTTTTTATAATCATCATGATTTTTTGTAAAGCCAATGTTTATTTTTTGTTTTTCAAATTTTTCTTTAAAAAATTCTTTCTTGTTATATTTCACCAAACTACGTTTGTCTAAAAGATGACAATACGATTTTTAAGTGGACAGATAACTTTATTAAAATCTAACGTGCCTTAATATAAATTTTAGTTGAATTAACAAAAAATTCAAGTTTTAAACAAATGAGTCGACCATCGAAAATCTTTTCATTTTCCGGGGCCAATGAACTTAATCATATTTTTTTAATATGAGAACTGTCTTGATATTTGCATTTAAAGAATTTTCTAAAATTTGAAAGAATTATATCATCTGTAAATACAGTGATTAGTTACTAATAACCCTCCCCCCCCCTTCCTCCCAACCAAGAACGCAATAACCTCATTTTTACTCTTCTCCTTGTTTGATCAGAAAGCAGTTAAACGAGGAATTTTTGACCCAAATATATTCTTCAAATTCAGGTTTTTTTCTTGAGCTAAAAATTAGTTAGAGCAACAGATTAATTAATAGCTCAGCCATTCTTTCTGCAATCTGATCTAAAGGATTTATATGAAATTCTCTTTTAGAAAAATCGAAAAAAAGTAACTAACTTTGCCTAAACCTCGAATTTTCTCATCCCTCATATCTTTGCAACCTGATGTTGTAAAAAATATCAAAGGACCAGAAAACTTGAGTTTGAGGCAAGTGTTGCTGTTCAGATCTTGTTATTTATAATATTCGATTGAAAATATAATTATGGTTTTATATCTTATTTAAATAAATTTACAGTTTTAGGAAACATTTCCTTTAACTATGGGGTCACTTAGTTTTATCGTATCTGCGAGAATTGATGCTTCACTGAGTTTTAGAATTAGTTTAAATTTAAATTTTACACTTTAAAGTTTAAACCGAAGATTTCTCCTTGGTACGTTTAAACCTCAACGGAAGCAAATTTAACTGGAACTGTGGGGGGGGGGACCCCCGGGGGGAGAGAGTGACAGGGGGTAAGCCACAGTAAGAGGGGGGGGGGGTCAAATTTGGCAAGGAGATCGGCAAACTGAACTGTGAAGGGAGGGTTCAAGTATATTGTGCAAGTGGGAGGAGAATACAAGGGCTAAGTGACAGCCATGGTATCCATTAACCACCCCTCCCCCCCTCCTCCTCTTCACTAATTATATACTTTTGCAAATAGTGCAGTGTTTTGAACCAACGTTTTTTAAAGAGCAGAGATGCAAAACGAAGTATTAACATGTTTCTAAACATTGTGGAAAAAATAAGGATTAAGAATTGATAATTGTTAAAAATTGGAGAAAAAGTTAACAAGATTAATGTTAGATTGGTATAGGTTTTAAATCTTTAGTTAAGAGAAAATTTTCCAAGAAAAATCAAATTAAATATGATTCAATCGATGATAAAGTTGAATAAACTCTAAATTATTTCTAAGAAAAAGATCAAATTATCAAGGTTTGTTTTTTCTTTAAAGAAAACTTGTTTCTATTTAATATAAAAATATATCTTCCATATCTATGTTGATTTTACTGAACCCGCGATTTAAAAGCTTCGGCTCGGGTCTTCATTCCTTAAACCCAGCTTTAAGACCCAATCTTAGACCCAACTCTGAGGACAGCTTGTGTCACGTGATAGACCTGAGTCGCATTTTGTTGAATCTTTTTAATCTCATTCTCCGGCCCTTTGTCTTCCATACAATATACCCCAAAACGGCTGAACCAATTGGGTCACATTTTGTGTGTGATTGAACGGCCGGTCATTACTATAAATTATTTTATTCGAAAAATTACTTTTCTTCGGAATTGAAAAATTAAATAAAAATGTGTGATTTTTTTCAATTGTTATTGTTTAATAATGTTCCCACAAACAACAATTCGTTAAAATCAACGTTTTCATAAAAGATGAATTTAAAAGTAAATTGTAAAGTTTTAAAAATGACACTCAACTTTCTTTGAATTGCATTAATGCAAATTTTCTAGCAATATAGTTTTTACGTAAATTTGTGCAACTTTGCGTAATTTCATAGTATTACAAATCATTTTCTGTCAAAATGCATCTCGTAAAAAAAATCCTACATGAACTGCGTAGACTTTCTTTTTAGAGAATTGAGTATGAATGGAAAAAAGATAGGTAGTGAAATATAAAATAAAAATGATTTAAATGAAGACAGTAATGGTGGAAACAATTGAGAAAAAAATTAAGAGAGAAATATATTTATATTGATTACTATATAACTCTAAAGATAAAAGTTTAGGATTTCTATCTTCATATAATAAAATAAAATACCACAGTATCTNTAAAGGATTCCTGACAAAGTGTTTAGAGCCACTGTTGATTGGACATGTCATTATTGCTTAAAAAAGGATTTCTGTAAAATAGAAATATAGTTCTTTATCGTAAAATATAAAAAAGAGGTGCTTAACAAGTAAGGCCTTACTTAAGGGGTAAACATTTTGTCATAACAAAAATATCAAGTTTATTAATTGCAAACAAAATTTGCTTGCTTTAGTCGCATACTTGTAAACTGCATTATTGCATACTTAAAGATTAAATCTGCCTACGTGTTTTTAACGAGTGTGTGTTCGTGTGCAGTGTGTGTGTGTTTGTGTGTGGAGTGGATCACTGGGTCAATGCACTACTAGGGCTTTCTCCTAGTATCTATCTATCTATCTATCTATCTATCTATCTATCTATCTACCTAAAGAATCTAGTAACAAACAAATAAAAATGTCCGGAAAAATCTCTAGACTCTGACTGCTTAGGAATAGAGCGAGAAGAAGGAAGTCAACAAATATTAAGTAAAAGAAAAAAAAGAAAATTGTAAATGAGAGGGAAAGACTAAAAAGAGAAGGTTGAAAAAATTACCAACTGGATTTTAAGTCAGAAAATCACGGGAAAAATGGAAAAAAACGAAAAGAAGTAGGAATGGAAGTATGAATGGAAAAAAAGATAGTTAGTGGAGATAAATATAAAATAAAAATGGAGACAGTAATGGAGGTAGAGTTGAATAAATAAATGAAGGGAAAAATTGAGAAAAAAATAAAGAGAGAAATTCTAAAAGAAAATATTAAAATTGTAATTATGAATATGAGAAAGGATGTATTGAGATCGGAGGGGGGAGGGGCCTGGGATATTACTAGACGGGACAGTAAGCTATGCATGGAATAGTTCCCGAACTGGACACAAACATTTTATCTTTTGTGATATAACGACAAACATATATACATGACAAATGAGAAATCAAAACATGTATGTTTGTAGAATAATGTTTGGAATTCAACAAAGAGGGATTCCCGGGGGGGGGGGGTGTTCCGGCAACAAAAAAACGTCTGATTTTTTATGAAAAAACTTTGCTAAATTTTTTAAGAAAAAGAAACAATTAGATAGAAAACTAAATTAAATAACTCTAAATGTTTCAGGAAGAAAGGATTCAGTTCTCTGGATCTATTTGCAGACTGCAGTGGACCCTCCTGGGACCCGGAGAATGAAGATTCATCCTGCAACCCTTCTCCTTCATTCTTTACCTCCCAATCTTCAGCTCTTCCTCCTCCATCATCTCCTTCTCCATCCTGCATTCAACCTCTTCATCCCGATCCATCATTAGATCTTCCTTGTCCTCCGTCAACTACTCCGTCTACCCCCCCGTCATCTCCGGTTCAAGTTTCTCCGGAGGATTCTCCGCCGTCCTTGGCTAAACTAATTCTTGACGGAGAAAACAATGGTTTAAGATCTCTCAACCCTGATCCAGTATCCTTTCTCAGTCTTCCTCATCCTTTCATCCGTCCTAACTCAAGGTTCAGCTCAAAGCGAAGTCTTAGTCCTGATTTTCTCCGGGAGTGCAAAACAGCACGGCCTAATTTCAAGGATGGAATTAAATCTGAAATCTGTGATATCTCAAGAAGTGATAAAAGAACCGGAACTGCTCCGGGTACCCCTTACAACAGGCCGAGTACGAGGAAGGAAGGGTTCAGCCTGGAATCTAAACATCCTTGCCCAAACAATCTCGGATACTGTAAGTTATACTATATTTATTACTAGCTAGCTTATTTCCCGCATTAAACTTAGAATTTCAAACCATACTAAGAACATTTCTGTGGTTCTCCCGAGGGCCCCACTCACAATTTGAGGCAAATCGGTTAAGGGGTTCCTGAGTTATGATCGGACAAACAACAGACAGATAGAGATTACAACTTTATATCTATAATATATATATATAGATGAGAATAATTCTTTTGTTTTGACCCAAATATTTCTTTCTATATAAACTGAATTTTTAAAGTAAATATTCGTATTCTCTAAACTAAGTCTGAGACCTTAAAAAATAAAAATATAATTTTGTAGTTTCTAAATTCAATTAGATTTGTTTATACTTTAGATGAATGCTGTGCTAACCTGCCTGGATCTACGATTCTCCAACACTGGTTGGAATCTCCTTCCCGGAGAACCATCCCAACTCTTCCGTCCCAGGTTCAGGTTGCTCTCTCTGACCCCAACCCTCTCCATAGACTAGAGAACATGGTCAGGGATGGGTTTAGGCTGGATCAGAAGGACGGAGAAGGTCGTACAACACTTCATCTCGTGATATCTGAGCCCAACCTTCTCCACCGAGTTCAGGTTGCTACCTGGATACTACAAAACGGAGGAGATGTAGGCTCCTGTGATAGAAACCAGGATACTCCGTTAACTCTGATCAACACTATGCTGGAGAGACATGATTTCTCTATAGCTCTCCGTCTTGTTGAAGTTTTATTAGAGCACGGAGCTGATGTAAACCACATGAATAAGACAGGATGGACAGCCCTCTCCTATACTGTTAAATATCTAGATTCAGGAATCAATATCTCCAGGCTTCTCATTAACTCCGGAGCCAGGATATTTCCTGAAGTTAGCACGGAGCGGAACAAAATATTTGGAGTATTTCTTCGCTCTGTGCTGCTCCAACAGAGCCTGGAAAACGCCGGAAACCTTCTCCAATTACTCGCAATCTCTGCGAGCACCAGTCCTCAGCGTTTAAGAACTCTGGTTTACACAGAGCTAGTCTCCGAGTTCAGATTTCCAAACTCCGGAGTTCCTGATCTGCTCTTGGAGATCTGCCGTATATTGGAGGACTATTGGAGAACTCCTCTCCCTCTTACAACCCTGAGTGCTAACCAGGCTAGGGCAAGTATTGGAGCAGGACGGATAAACTCCAGAACCTTCAATAAATTGAATCTTCCAGGACTACTACAGGACTACCTCAGCTTGGAGAAACTGCCAGATATGATGCCAAAGACTATACATGACAAGACTGCTCTTACTATCCAGATCTCAGGAGGTTTCTTGCTCAATTCTACTTCTCACCTTCAATCCTTTACCCAGAGAGGAGAACCAGAAAAATCAATGAAATCTTTATAATAAATATTTGAAAAAACTTTTTACTTATATTTAGAGATTTACAGTGAAAAATTTCGATATGAATAAGATCGAGCAGCTATTAGTTTAAAAACACAGATTTAGAGATAATCCAAGAAATGTCAAAGATTCAAATATTTAGACACTTTGTCACTTCGTGCTTTCCTTCTTTTATATTCCTAACGTATAGACCGATATTAAAGTAAAAAAGATAAAAAACCAAAAATGTTAAATTGGGATCGAAAGTGACAGGATGCTGGGACAAGAACTGAACCGTTAATCAGTTTGATAGATAAAGTTGAAAATATTGTCATTTGCATCACAAATTGTAAATGATAAAAATTTTTGAAATTTCTCATTGCAATACCTTGTTCGGCTGGCACAATAAACAAAATGTGAGCTGTTTTCTTTCAAGTTGTATGAAATATGGATTTTTGGGGAAAATGTTTAAAATTCTTTATTTTTCCATCAATGTTGTCGCTGCATATAGGTCTACCAACATTTAACATAAATACAGTGTCAATTTCTTTAAGGTTCTCAAAACTTTGCAAAGAAACCGTTAAGAAATTTTTGGGTGTAATAATGGAAGGGGCGGGGAGGGGGGCTGGCGGTCCTGTTTGTCTTATCTAGTGTGTGTGTGTGTGTTTTAGTGTGTGATGTTTTGTGTGTGTCCTATATCCTGTATGTATATATATATATTGAGAGAGAGAGAGGGTTGAACGCCCTGTATTTGTGCCGCGCAATCTCTGGAAAGCGCTGACGCTAAAATTTTGTTACGCAAAGCGTATACTCAGAACTACAACAAACAATAAAATTTGGCGGGTGAAAATTCGATTCAATCCTCTACNCCCCCCTCCCCACCTCTCCTTTCAACAAATACCCTTGTCCTCGTTTCTAAGTTACTAAGCCTCTTTATCTCCCTTTCTTTTCACAAAAGTCTTTCATTTTCCCTCTATTTTTCAAGAAATTTCCCTCCATTTTTCAATCAAAGGAATTGAGTCTTGGCCACAAACTCAAACTTTCTAACTTTAATATATTTGCAACCTGACGGAATAAACCTGATCTACAACCAGATCTAACAGAATTCATAGTGGGAAATATTTAAGGTTGCGAAAATATAGGGATTTTCAAACCAAAGAAACTGAGTTTTTGCCTCAAACTTTTTTGTAATCCTGACATCTTAATTCTATAAAATAGTTAATCTATGATATTTAAAGATGAAGGGATTAAAGAAAATGAGTTCCCTTCTCTTGAGTTTTCTCTTCCAATTCTTCGATTTTTTAAAGCAAATATCTACGGGTAGTACAGGGTTACCCACAAAAAAATGAGACTAAAAAGACGACCCAAAACTCTTAAAATATGATTTTATAAATGTTAGAATTATACATCTGTCTGCAATATAGTGTTTTAATGTTTTTTTGGTATACTGTATAGTTTTCTCATAATATGATTTTATAAATGTTAGAATTATACATCTGTCTGCAATATAGTGTTTTAATGTTTTTTTGGCTGGGAAAGAAAAAAGCTTGCTTTTAAATGCAGGAAAGAATAGATGTAAAACAGAACTCAATAAATTCCGTACAGTCGTCTCTGACGCTCATCCTTTGTGGGTAACCCTGTATGCTATAAACTATTTCTACATTTATATTAACATTTTTCCTTTTATCTGTCATTGGATCTCTTGTTTCCTTTTTTCTTTCATTTTGTCTCTCATCTTCTTCTCTTTTCTGTTTTTGTAACTTATTAACTTTCTTTTCTTTCTTGTTTTCTAGCATTTTTAGTTGCAGACATACTTTGCAAAAATGTTTTTGTTTGCAAAATAAATGTTGCTAATTTACTGTACTAACAAACAAAAACAATTAAGAAAACAAACATAAATCTTGTGAGTGTTTGCTTTTGTCAGGAAGGTTGTCAAATACACATTCATATACGGTGAATCCCAAAAAATGTGAAATCAGCTTACGACTGTATGACTGGGGTTATGATTTTAAAAAGTACAATGAACATTAAACACAGAAAATAATTATCAAGTCTAGCCCACATCTTATCAAAGCTTATCTAAAACTTTTAAAATTCAATAAATTATGATTAAGGAGAATCTTGATAAGTTTAAAACAATATAACACTAAGTGTTACAGCTTTATTCAATAAGAAATTAAAAAGCAATAAAATGCCTAGAAATACGAAAATGTTGGTAAGTGTGCAAATACGATTTCCCGAATGGTCGTCACATATGTATATTAAAAATGTTATTTTATTTATTGGATGTCATTTAGTACTTGTTGTTCTTGCAATAGAGTTTTAACAATAATGTTTTAGACGATCAGGATACAGGAGATCAGTGTGTCATTATGGGCAAAATATAATGGTTTGTGCATTGTGTATGAAGAAATGCGTTAGGCGTAAAATATTCTTGTTTACGCACCAAAAACTAATCTTATTCTTTGTGACGCAAAAAATGCGTTACCGTTATACAATATTCCCCAATGAAAAGGGGGGTTTAGAGGGCGAGGGTTTTGTAGGGAGGGGTAGGAAGAGGGGAGGGGGGGGGGGGGTGTATGAACAAAGAAAATCTGAAGAGGGTCTTCTGTACAAACACATCAAACAATTTATAACAATATTTGGAAGCTTTATAAACAGAGAAAGATTAAAGTTTAAAATCTAAGAATTCAGAGCGCTTCTCACCTCTGTGTTTTGAAACCCAATTATCATAGATATCAGGTTGGTGTGATACATATTTGAAGTGATTAATGATTTAAGGTTGCATTTATACACTGAGACCCATGAAACTAGGGAATAGGAAGACGACTGTTACCCTCACGTTATAATAATATGAAATACAGCAATTGACATTTGATTTGCTTTATGATAGCATCAAATACTTTATTTTCCACTGACTTATGGGTCTCACTGCTGGTGGGAAAACTAAAAAATTAGTTAAGAATCTTTTTTTCGACAAATAATAAACTATAAGTTTTAGTTTTTCATGAAAATGATATTATATCACTGTAAACTTGGGTTCATTTCAAGTACCGGTGCGACTTTTAAGGAGCTAGAGCAAACTGTATAGTACGCACACAAACTATATAAGGCTAAACGGGGCAGTACGCCAAATGAACCATCTCCTTCAAGGATATATGTACAGTGTACACTGTGAGACAAATACTCACAAACAATCCTAGGTTTACGAAATTATTGTCGTGTCTTGTCCTTATTGTTTTGAACATAAATTCAATAAAATTAAGAAAACAACAAGGTTTTTAATTGAAAAAAATACTGAAATAAAACTGTTTTGAATAAGGTCAATCAACACCAAATGTAAACGAAAACAAAAACTCAATTCTTTAACAACTTTAGAACATAAGAATTTACTAACTTTGCCAAATAATGTAAACAGATATATAAATAATGTCAAGTACAGTACAAATGTGTACAATCGCTGTACAAAGTCAAGGAAACAGTCAAGGAAACAGCCAAGAACACAGTCAAGGAAACAGTCAAGGACACAGTCAAGGAAACAGTCAAGGAAACAGTCAATGACACATTCAAGGAAACAGTCAAGAACACAGTTAAGGACACAGTCAAGGACACAGTCAAGGAAACAGTCAAGGAAACAGCCAAGGACACAGTCAAGGAAACAGTCAAGGAAACAGTAAAGGACACAGTCAAGGACACAGTCAAGGACACAGTCAAGGACAAAGTCAAGGACACAGTCAAGGACACAGTCAAGGAAACATTCAAGGACACAGTCAAGGACACAGTCAAGGACACAGTCAAGGACACAGTCAAGGACACAGTCAAGGGAACAGTCAAGGAACCAAAATTAAACTTCAGACAACAAAGTAAAATAAAACCAAGTAATCACGCAACCTCTTAAACGGGTCTAGTTAAACTATACAGGGTTTCCCAGAAAGGATGAGACTGCAAAGCCGAACTGAAACTCTTTTAATATGAATTTCCTCGTTTAGATTAGGTATTCTGTCACGAATATAGAATCTTTTTTAATGATTATGCAAAGAAATAAACAAATTTACAGCTGCAGGAATCCTAAATATGAGAAAACAGACGGTAATAATTCCGTACAGTCGTCTCTGAAGTAAGTCTAATATTTTGTGGGTAACCCTGTATTATCTCCATATGTCCGTTCATCGTTTAAGGCAAGGAAGGCAAGAAAACTTAAAGAAAAGTCAGACGAAAACTTTTTTAAAATTTGGTTAAACCTCATCAAAATCCAACTCCAACTCCAAACTTCAGAAAGGCATATACGAAAAAAGAACTTTTTATTCATAAGACAAAATAGACGGCAAATTTGAATTTTGTCAATTAGTTCCTTCTCATTCGTGTATACTGTATAGTTTTCTCATTCTTGTATACTGTATAGTTTTCTCATTCGTGTATACTGTATAGTTTTCTCATTCGTGTATACTGTATAGTTTTCTCATTCGTGTATAATGTATAGTTTTCTCGGTTTATTAAAATACATCTATATTCAATAAAAGTTTTTTTCGGCATTCTTTTTTTCCCGCAAAAGAATGCTTTAAAATCTTTAAAATTGTATAAAAGAGAACAATTCAATTGTCTTTTTTAAAGGGAGTGACCGGCTATGTAAGGTAGTTGAACTGAGTATGCAGTGTGGTGGAAAAGTTCGTTGTTTAATAATTTAAAAAACTAATTCTGAAAACGTATCCACCCCAAAGTAGGAGTTTTGAACGTCGAATTTGGGCTCAAACACAGGATTTACAGATCTTTAAAAAGTTTAATATGTCTCAAATGAATCCGAAAGAAGTTTTCCATAACACTGCATACTCAGTTCAATTACCTTACATAGCCGGTCACTACCTTTAAATGATAAATAAGGTATTGGAAGATTTAAAGAGTAAGTAGTTTAAAGATAACTTTATCTTTAATATAACCAACTTTTTTGTTGAAATAACTCATTTTTGCTTTGTCTTTCTGCTTTTTAGGATTCATTTTTAAGTTACACAGTGGTAGTAAAATTAATATATAATACTAAAGGTAACTGTTGAAGATATCGTCGTTTTTTAGTTTAAAAAATATAGAATTTTCAAAGATAAGTTAAAGGATTCCTGACAAAGTGTTTAGAGCCCCGTTGTGAATCGGACCCTTTGAGTCCCTTAAAATTACGTTTACAGTCCCTTAAAGTTACGTTTACAGTCCCTTAAATTAAGGTTTANTTTTCTCTGAAATCACTTAAAGCTGGGTTTTATGAGGTGGACCTATCAACTGTCGGCAGAAATATTACAATTCAGAAGTTTTTAGAACATTTTCAAACAGATATGTTACCGGATTCTCTATAGGTTTTGAAACACATATGTTACCGGATTCTCTATGGGTTTTTAAACAGATATGTTACCGGATTCTCTATAGGTTTTAAAACAGATATGTTACCGGATTCTCTATAGGTTTTCAAACAGATGTGTTACCGGATTCTCTATAGGTTTTTAAACAGATATGTTACCGGATTCTCTATAGGTTTTCAAACAGATATGTTACCGGATTCTTTGGTTTTTAAACAGATATGTTACCGGATTCTCTATAGGTTTTTAAACAGATATGTTACCGGATTCTTTGGTTTTTAAACAGATGTGTTACCGGATTCTCTATAGGTTTTTAAACATATATGTTACCGGATTCTCTATAGGTTAACTTTAGCCAAAGAGACTGTAGACATAGTTTTAAGTGAAACGTGAAACTACATATATAAAGTGATATGTCCGAAACTACATGTATAAAGTGATATGTCTGAAACTACATAGATAAAATGATATGTCTGAAACTACATGAATAAAACGATATGTCTGAAACTACATATATAAAGTGATATGTCTGAAACTACATATATAAAGTGATATGTCTGAAACAAAACAGTATCCTAAATTCAGTGATATATGTTCAAGAATGAATGAGATATCCATGTTTTAAATTTCTCCATAAAAGTGACTTCCGGTTTTCTGCTAAATAACCTATAGAAAAAAATTCTGACAATTAAACAATTTTTAAGCTAGAAAAACAACAAAAATCTTCGCCGTAGTTATACTTGATAAACGTTTAAATTGTACAGTTCTAAATCGGACACATATTCTTTTTATTAAAATGGAAGGTCACATGAAATTAAAGTCCCTGGCTTTAAAGTGTATCAGGGAATAGGAATCCTTAAAATCAATCTTTTATGTAACCCTGAATGAACAAATTACCAATACAAATGTTTATAATTACTAGATCTTCTCTTCAATTTTTATTATTCCTTCTACATTATTAAACATGAACAATTTAAGATTTTGCAGATTTATTTGGTTTCATTGGTGGATTTCTGAAATTTGAAAATAGTTTTTTTGGAGGTAAATTTTGTTGATTCTGACCGTCCCTAAGGACTTAATTGGTTAAACTGTATAATGTTTGAAATAACTTGATAGACGGCCATCTGGAAAATTTACAGATTCGGCGTTCGACGAATTGAGGTTTCGTTAATGGGCCATAATCTGGGCGGGTATAGTGGGACTCTAGAACCGGAAGTTAGTATGGTAAAATCAACACACCTGTCCTACTTCAAGTACTTTCACATTGAAATAAAAATATTGGGATTTAAATGTTTAATTTCCATACATTTAAATTTTTTATACAATTTATAAAATGTCGTCTTGACAATTTTAAACTATAATACCTAAATCTCAGTAATTGTAAAAATAAATAAATAGCCACAAAATATTCGAGAATAGTTTAAAAACCTCCGTATAAGCAGTTAATTAAAAAACTAAATATCTGCAGTATTCCACTATGAGTATTATACAGTAGGTTTGAAAAACGACATTTGTTAAACTATTTCGATTCCTCCGAAGTTCTGGGACAAACTGAATAAAGGTCGTCGTCAATCCTTTTATGATTTTATAACTCCATCGTGTTAAACTAAATCTGAAATATTATCTAAAATATTTAAATATTTGACAAGCATGAATTTAAACGCCGGAAATACAGTTTGTATTTTTTTCCAATTCTCTGATCACGTGACAAATCGAAAATTGATAACGCGGTATTCAAGCATCCTAAATAATTTAGGGCAAACAGAAAATATTCTTATTTTATGGAGTTTAGACATGGACGTTACAAATAACTGAATAATTATCACGAAACATGATTTGAAATGTTAAACATTTGAAGAAATACTTTATTTTCCCTATTATCAGTAGATATGTTTCATTTTCTTACAGAATTATTGAATACCAGTTCGTTCAAAATGTATAAAAATAAAGTAAAAATAAAATCACTTCTTCGTCTTGTATAAGTTGTTTATTTGTTTAGGGTGTTTTTTAACTGAACCCTTTCGCAAGGACATTATTACAGCTTTACGTCAGGACACTACAATATATTTATAGACTTTAGGAAAAAGAAAATGTATGCGAAATTACTAGTATGATTTTGAAATCTGGTAGATCCTCTATATTTGATTTTTAGCAAAGAATTAAATAAACAAGTTAATTTTGTTGCATACAAGAAATTTAAAACGTTTTTGTTCTTCTCTATAGCTCTTAAAAAGAGGAATTAGGATTAAAAATATAGATTTCAAATTTAAAATAACAGGAACCAGATTTCATGAATAGTGAGAAGTAGTTCAACTACTTAGACATATTTGAGCCCTTTCTCTTGCTCGCTGGTTCAAGTTGAATAGAATTGGTTCAAATTTAAGTGATAAGTAATTAACTACTATATACTTGTCAGTCATTCATTAAATCTAGTCACAGTAAATACAAGAACCCTATAATTAACAGTAAATACAAGAACCCTATAATTAACAATAAATACAAGAACCCTATAATTAACAGTAAATACAAGAACGCTATAATTAACAATAAATACAAGAACCCTATAATTAACAATAAATACAAGAACCCTATAATTAACAGTAAATACAAGAACGCTATAATTAACAGTAAATACAAGAACCCTATAATTAACAATAAATACAAGAACCCTATAATTAACAGTAAATACAAGAACGCTATAATTAACAGCAAATACAAGAACCCCAAGAACCCTATAATTAACGATGATCTGACAAAATCTGTTCACTACTATTTTTGCTTATTCAAAATTAATGAAAACAAAGGAATTCAAAACTCACCTAAATTTGCAGCTTACGATTCATTTTATCTTTTGAAACCTGATGGTGTAAATTTTTGCTAACTTAAACTTTGACAATTGAGTCTAGCAGAGTTGAAGGCCTATACGAGATCTGTAAAGATATGAAGATTAGAAAATTATAAATTTTCTAGATAAAGTTTTCTACCTGATGCAGCTGAAAAAAGAGGTAAATTGCGCTTTAGCCAATAATGGCCTTCCAGCAATTGGAGAAATACAATATTGGATGTACAAGATTTGATCGTATAAACCTGATTAAAATCCAATATTGGATGTACAAGATTTGATCGTATAAACCTGATTAAAATACTTCATTTTTTAGTAGTTTAAGGAAGTTATACATTCAAGCTCTGTTCTTGATTTTAATCACATTTCTTATTGCTTGCTGATTGCTAATTGCTATATTAAAAAGATAACAAGAAAATAATTAGATTATACAATAAGAAAATTATTAGATTATTTTACAACAATAAAATAAATTGTTTATACAACAATAAAATAATTAGATTATTATACAACAATAAAATGATTAGATTATTCAGCAATAAAATAATCTGATGATACAACAATAAAATTATTAGATTATTATACAATAAAATAATTCAATAGATAAATGTCTCAAAGATAACACTGACCTTTGTTGATGGAGCAAATAATAATGAAACGTTGGGATATTATCACATATTTTTGGTATTTATGAGATCTACTGAGTAAAAAGTACGAATAATGTTTAAAATACAGATATAACTTAATATTCCATGATTAAAAAAATATATTTGTATCCTTTGATTCTGTCTTCTGTATCAAAACTGTAAATAATCCTGTATCCTTCGTATCAAAACTGTATATAATCCTGTATACCATTCTGTCTTCGTATCAAAACTGTAAATAATCCTGTATCCCATTCTGTCTTCGTATCAAAACTGTAAATAATCCTGTATCCCATTCTGTCTTCGTATCAAAACTGTAAATAATCCTGTATCCCATTCTGTCTTCGTATCAAAACTGTAAAAAGTTAGAGTCTAGTATACCAGTTTGATTATAGCATTGCTAGACAAAAATACATCAATAACCTTTTTTAAAAACACGCGCTTCAACTTCTGTATTTTCATCTATCTATCAATAAGTTGAAAGAGTACGCTCAGGCTCAGTTGGCAAATATTACTGGGAAACGAGAGATAAAAAGAAAGATAAGTAGAAAATATAAAAAACCAGATATTTCTTAAATATTCTTCTAGTTTAATAAATCCATCATGAAGTATATAATTCTGATCAGTATTATCAGCGTTGCCTATGGTAAGTTTATATGCCAACGGTTTCCTGCCAAACCAATGGACACAATCTTGTAAGCTATCGATATAAATCGGAAACTCGTAACTATCAATGCCAAACCAATGGGCATGATCTCAGCTCGTATGTTTCAAAGAGGACCAGCTATCAACAAGCTTTCAACTATCAATGCCATACAAATTGGGCACGATCTTGTATGCTATCGATATCAATCGGAAGCTTGTAACTATCAATGCCAAACCAATGGGCACGAATCCTCAACCTGTTTGTTTCAAACGGGGAACGATTACTCTCTCGCAGTAAACAGTGCGGAGTCTCATATATATCAAATAGCTATCATTGAAGATTAAGTATTAACAGACATCATTACATGTTAGGCGTGTTGTATATAACATATATCACAATATAGATTTGACGGAGTTATATTTATACATATATTGGTTGCATTAATCGCAATACATGATTTGCATATTTACTAATGAGTGTGCATTTAGATCTATGGACAATGTACAACGTAATTTATCTAGATTACTATGGGCCTCTGTGTTTATTACGTACAGCTATACAATACATGCGGAAAGTGTTTGCAGAATGATGCGCAATTTGTATTACTCTTCTCATATCTATAACAACAGACACATAAAGTCTTTTGTGGCATGCAATAAGATAAAATTTTAATAGTAAGTAAGTAAGTAATTATTTATTTATGAAATATAACAATAACATACAAAATTAAGTGTTTCATGAGAAAATATTTTAAGACCTCCAAAAATAGAAAAAATATAGAAAATAGAAATCAAAGGAAAAGGAAATGAAAGGAAAGGGAAAGGAAAGTTACTTATTTATTGTTTACAATATATTTAATATAAACTGGTGGTGGATTGTTAGTATTTTTCGACGATGAACTAACAACTTTTAGAAATAAAAATGGAAGATTTATTGGTAATGTTACAAAAAAATAGGCTTTATGGGTTCTGAAAAAGCAGTAGGTTTCACGCAAAACGGGCATTTTTTAGCATCTTTTTGATTCGCACCAATTTTTGCCATCCTTTATGTTTGATTATGTCTTTTACTCTTTTTAACCTTTTTAGTCTTTTCTTTGTAAAATCGTCTTTGCTTTCTTCGATTCTTTCTCATACATAGTATGTGTTAAAATTAAAACATTTGTTCTGCCGATAAAAAAATCTTCAATTAAATTCTGTTTAGCATTCCAAATAAGATTAATATTTGGAAGCTTAGAAAAGTGTCGTTTATTTTCATACCATTCAGTCCAATTTTAATAGATTTTACTTAATATAGTGGCTAGGCGCCCAACATTTTTTGTCTTCATCTAAAAAGCTCTAAAGAACGTGTCCAAAATGTTTAGATTTTAGTTCCCATGGTCTAAATACAGGTTTACAAAGTGGATAATATCCTTGTTTACAGGTTTACCAGGTGGATAATATCATTGTTTACAGGTTTACCAGGTGGATTTAGGTTTACCAGGTGGATAATATCCTTGTTTACATGTTTACCAGGTGGATAATATCCTTGTTTAAAGGTACGCCTGGTGGTGCTCCCGACTGTGTAGACAGACCTCTTGGACATAATGGAGGAAACAACCCACAGGTATGCAAACATTTTTCGCCAACTACCTCTGGCGGAGACATTTTGAACTAATCATTATTCAAGACTGGTCCTAGTGGGGTAACAATATCAGCTGATGAGTCGGGTGATGGATCTGTTTTTATAACTGTGACAGCAGATACACCCTTTAAGGTATTTTTCATCCTTAAGTAAAAAAAGTCTAATGCATGAAAAATCACAAATTACTTCAAACTAAAAAGCAAATTTGTTAGACAAATGGAAAGCAAAGAAATAAATGCTTTGTTTCTCCAAATTGTTAGATTTCTAATTTGTTCAGGGAATTCTGATTACCAGTACAGCTGCCGGTCAATTCTTAGTTCCTGACGGTCAACCTCTTCAGCTTATGCTTTGTACAGGTTTATTCTACAAAAATTAGAATGGGTTGAAGAAATAATTGGTATTTTATCATAATTAGATAATCTGTAGATTGGCACATTTTTACATCATTCCATTGTTTATGATATCAAGTTAACCTTGCTTTTAGTCGAGAGTTTAAAAACATAACAAAGCTTGCTTTGATTTGATGCATACTGAAAAGATCTACTGGAAATATTAAATTTTTTCTTGCAAATCTAATTTTCGTAATTAGTGAGTTTTTTAGACGATTTTAATTGCATCTGTTTGGATGTTAAAGCACAGTTTCGCCGGGATAGCACCAAGCACCGAGCATTCCAAATAACCGGGTCTAAGCAAGATCACATAGATCCCAACCACCATGAACATTTGCATAAATTTTTAAGACTGGGTCGATTTCAAAGTGTCTCAACGCATTAGCCGTTGATTTAACCTCGCTAACTCACATTTATATTTCTTAGTAGTCTTTAGATAGGCATAGAATTATAAAATACTATGTATAAGCTTTAGTTTTAACAAGTAATTGCCAAATTTCTCATCGTTTTTTCCGTTAGAGCTTGTAACATTTCAATGACTCTATTTCGAAACTCCCAATACTGGAAAACGAGCCTTGATCCCTGAGCTATAGGACTTGATCTAAATTAATTTTCAGGAATCACCCATGTCAGCAGTGACTTGAAATCAGAAGTCAGTGCTATTTTTGTCAAGGTAATATTTACATTAAAAACCTATTACAAGTCTATAATTCTAACGACTATTAAAGGGTTATTTCAGTGGACCATCTATACAAAAATGGCATTGCATGATTTTCAGCAGTACCTTTGAAAATTTTCTGACTCAAAAAGTGTTTAATGCTGATAATATCTCCAGTCTTTCTTGTGCAAGTACCTTTCGCAAAAAAAACCAAAAATGTTCTATCTAATTCCTAAATTGATCAGACAAAGTTTTTAAGGCTACCGCTGTTAATCGGGCGTTGTCATCTTTGCATATGTAGTCTCACTTGAAATTACACTTACCGTTCCTTTCAGACTTTAGAGAATTATTTTATAACAATGATTATTACAAATATTAAATTTAAATATTTTTAGGCTGACCCAGCATCAAAAGCCGAGTTCAATTTGATTGTTGTTCGAGATTTTGAGACCTACTGGACCGAAATAAAGTTCAGCTCATAGATCTGTGATGTGAGCATGAGATCTAAAATCTTAATTATTTTTATTTTTCTATGAAAAAATAAATGTACTTAATGATACTATATTTGCTTTTGTAAATAATTGATCTTCAAATAAGCGTGGAATATTACTATTTAATACACATGTATCCTAATTGCATTGAAAGACCTGAGTCCGAATTGAATTTGAATTTGAGCCGCGTCTCAAATCCGCCAAGAACTGGCTTCAATTGAGCGCCTGCCTAAACCTTTATGCATTGAATACAATTTTAAGTGAAACCATCCATATTTGAGCCGCGTCTCAAAGTTAAGCCGCGGCTCAAATTCTTTAAATTCGGCCTCTGTTCAAATATGTCACTAAACATAATTTGGCTGAGTTACAACCACTAAAAACTTTAATCTCATGAATGGAGGTTTGACCTATATTCAAATGAATCTTAATTTTCACAACGTTAATCGTTTTGTTTAGTCTTTTTACAGCTTCTGATAAAACTTCCGATATGTCCAAACTGTTTTCTATTTTAGTTTACTCTAATTAAACTTCGCAACAAGAAAACTAATAAAAACGATCGTTTTAACGCGTTCGTTTTTGATTCGTTTCCGACCGAGTCAAAATTTGGCATATAATAAGAAAAGCAATATCTTTAATAAATGATTTTCTAGCACTGTGTCAAATTTTGACTCAGAAAAAAATATATGCAAAAAAAAAATAACAAAATCCCAATTACAATTAAAAATCCCAATTTTGAAAATTTGATTTTTAGATAAAAACAAGGATATGCTTAAAGGGCAACGTTGTAAATCGCGCATTCAATTCTTTAATTCAAGGCTAACAGTCCCTTTAAGCTGAATAACCTAAACCCAATTAAAATTATATTAACAGTTTTAAACTTCCCTTTCACATCGATTTTCAAAATTTGTAATTCTATCCTTTAGTGTTAACCTTCATTCTACTTGATACAGCCACATTGTTATGAAGTATTTTATTGTGCTCGCTCTAATCAGATTTTCTTACGGTAATTATTTTCATTTATTGACAAATATCTAATTTTAATATATGAATAAATATTTAAAATCAAATGAAATAAAAATAAAAAGCTAAATTAGAAGACTTCAAGATTTAAGCCGGTGCTCAATTGAAATCAGTTTCTGTTAGATTTGAGACGCGGCTCAAATTCATTAAATTCGGACTCGATATAATTTTGTAATCCCTAAATCTTTAAACCTTACATCGCAAACTTTATGCATTTATTTCATTACTCCATTTCTTTTTGAGAGTTCTTAATATATATATTCAAACTAATTTTGCAAAAATCATAGTTTTCAATATTTATACGGGTAGGTGATTATATCAATACAATGAAGACGACTATAGATTTTAATTNAACCCTTCAACCCTGCAACCCTTCAACCCTTCAACTCTTCAATCCTGAATCTGAAAGAAGGAAAAATATGTTTCCAGATCTTTCTCAAGTATAAATAAAAACTTTGAAACTATAATTGATTGGAAAAGATGAATAAAAAACTACCAAATAATAAAAAAAACTGGATTCAACTTTATTTTCTCATTTATAGAATATTGGAGGCGAGTAATCAGTTCCGTTGGTTAACCTTGAGATATTTTGATTAACTATGAGACAGATTGTTATAAAGGAGATTCTAGAAGATCTAACTAGAATATTGGAGGCGAGTAATCAGTTCCGTTGGTTAACCTTGAGATATTTTGATTAACTGTGAGACAGATTGTTATAAAGGAGATTCTAGAATATCTAACTAGAATAACTATATTAGTTATTTTAACTGAACTTCTAATTTAAGGATGGTATTGGTATGTCTGATTTACAGTGGTACTCTTTAAAAATTTATTAGATCAATATTGTGGAAGATATTGTCGTTTTTTCTAACTTATAAAGTGTTTATATCTCACAATTATTTCCATTGTTATGTAACAAGAAATCCGCAAGCCACTTTGAACTTCGATTGAACAAAGCGAACTGATGGATGTCTTATTCAATTTTAATCAGACCAAGCTATTAAGGACACCGCTTTAATTCGGACATGATCTTCTTTAAACTTCAACAACAGTCGGCTATAACGACAATCGACATTAATGACAGTCGACTTTACCTACAGTAGATTTCAACGACAGTCAACTTTACCCCTTCAACCCTTCAACCAATCAACCCTTCAACCTTTCCTCCCTTAAACCCTTCAACCCTTCAACCCTTCAACCCTTCAACTCTTCAACCCTTCAACCCTTCAACCCTTCAACCCTTCAACCCTTCAACCCTTTAAACCTTCAACCCTGAATCTGAAAGAAGGAAAAATATGTTTCCAGATCTTTCTCAAGTATAAATAAAAACTTTGAAACTATAATTGATTGGAAAAGATGAATAAAAAACTACCAAATAATAAAAAACTGGATTCAACTTTATTTTCTTAATTACACAATAGTTTTGATNCTTTTTTATTATACAAACCTTCTCCATCCCTCCTTCTCCTGACAGTCCCTACTTTCCTTTATGCCATTTTTCCTTATTCCCCACATTCCCTTTTCCTTTTTGACTTTACTGTCCCCCCTTTTTACTCCCTTTCCTGATAAATTTTACTTTTCTTCTTTCCTTTTCCCTTTTCTCTTCTCCTATTTCACCCCATACACCGCCTTTAAACACAGTCTGATTCGGTATTATTATGAAAGATGAATTGGTAAATAACCTCCCCTCCCCGACTATTTATAAACAAATCAAATGATAAGGTTAAAAGGCTGTTAGCCTGAATTTTAAGAATATTTGAAAACAAAAGATTTAAAGTTATCTTTGCTTCTGTTCTGATAAACCAATTCTGTTTGTTTTTATAAACTAGTTTTAGTGTTTTGATAAAATCAAATTTAACTTGTTTATATACAGGATTACCCACATAGAATGAGCCTTTAGAGACGACTGTCAGGATCTCCAGCTGATCACCTAGTGCACATGAAATATCTATCTTCCGATTATTGCATTTTATGTAGTCAAAAATAATTTAATAACAATGTATCTGTAGAATTAATGTAAACTTTATGTAAGACTGTAAATAGTTTTTTGTATACTGTATGCAGACTGTATATAGACTGTATGTAGACTTTATGTAGACTATATGTAGACTGTATGTAGACTGTATGTAAGGTATATGTGTGTGAGATATTGTGTATGTGTAATTGTGCTTGGGTAGGTGGGTGAGTGAGTGAGTGAGTGAAAGAGTTAGGGATCGAGGAATTGACAGGAGGAAAAGTTAGCAATTGAGTAAGTGAGTAAGTGAATGATAGAGAGGATACAAATGTGTTGGTTGACACTTGAGTGTGTGAGCGAGTGAGAGTGAGTTATAAGCACTTAAGGGAGTGAGAGTGTGAGTGAGTTAGCACTTGAGAGAGTGAGCGAATGAGTAAGCTAATGAGTGAGTGAGTAGGTGATTTAATGAGTCAGTTAGTTAGGGTGTGAGTAAGTGCATGAGTAAGTAAGTGAGAGTGTGAGTTAGTGAGTGAGTGAGCTAGTGAGTTTCTATGCCCCCTGGAAACCTGCTCGAAGCTGGGCATAAAAACTTTGGTTCCGGGGAAAAATATAAATTTCAACCCTCGTCCTCACTTTATACAAATTAGAGACCTCACATATACTTAGGTTTATACACGTACACACACTCACTCACTAATTCACTCACTCACTCATTAGCTTACTCACTAGCTCACTCTCTCAAGTGCTAAGTTAACACTTAAGTGAGTGACTCAAGTGCTAGCTCACTCACACTCTCACTCCCTTAAGTGCTTATAACTCACTCTCACTCGCTCACACACTCAAGTGTTAACCAACTCACTTGTATCCTCTCTATCATTCACTCACTCACTTACTCAATTGCTAACTTTTCCTCCTGTCAATTCCTCGATCCCTAACTCTTTCACTCACTCACTCACTCACCCACCCAAGCACTCACTCACTAACTTATAACCTTCCCCTCCCTCATATGATGTGTTTAACAGACACACAAGTGTATGTGTGAGACCAACAGACTGCATATAATCCATCATGTACTTCATTACATGGGTTAACAAAACAACCCATTTGTCTAGCTGTAGATATCCCTTGTAAATAGAGGGATAGATGGTGCTAGATATAGATAGATCAATAGATAGATAGATCTAGACAGATCAGTAGATAGATAGATATAGATAAATCAGTAGATAGATAGATCAGTAGATGGATAGATAGATAAATAGATTAGCAAACAGATCAATAGATAGATGGATAGACAAATGGATAGATAGATAGATAGTTAGATTAGTAGATAGATGGAAATATATATGGATAGATAGATAGATTTAGATACATAGATCAGTAGATAGGAAAGGAAGGAAGTAAGGTAGGGGGTTTGGGGAAAGGAAGGAAGTAAGAAAGGATAGGGGTATTGGGAAAGGAAGGAAGTAAGAAAGGAAAGGGGTATGGGGAAAGGAAGGAAGTAAGGGACATGGGGAAAGGAAGGAAGTAAGGAAAGGGGTTTGGGGAAAGGAAGGAAGTTAGAAAGGAAAGATGTATAGGAAAGGAAGGAAGTAAGGAAGGAAAGGGGTATTGGGTAAATTGTAAGAAAGGAAGGGGGTAGTAGGTAGAATAAAAAGAGGAAGGGGGAAGTGGGTAGGATGAAAAAAAGGAAGGGTTAGATAGATAGATAGATAGATAGATAGATAGATAGATAGATAGATAGATAGATAGATAGATAGATAGATAGATAGATAGATAGATAGATAGATAGATAGGTAGATAGGTAGATAGATAGATAGATAGATAGATAGATAGATAGATAGATAGATAGATAGATAGATATGAGTAAAGGTAATAATTTCTCCAAGTTTAATATCGGCAAGGTTTGTGCCTTGGTTCATGTTTGTGCAGATTCTGGTTCCTTGCAAATCATAATTTGCGAATGATAATTTGCAAATATCAATTTGCAAATTATATTTGCTTCTTTAAATGGGCATTTTTCCTTTTCTCGTATGAGACAATAATGTTTTTGATGTTGCTTTTTCTTACTACTTCTGGGCATGGGTCCTCATGCATACT